TCTCTCTCTCTCTCTCTCTCTCTCTCTCTCTCTCTCTCTCTCTCTCTCTCTCTCTCTCTCTCTGTGTGTGTGTGTGTGTGTGCGTGTGTGTGTGCATGGCGTGGCAGCATTTCCTGCAGCCATGTCCAGCCCGCACGCCTCACAAGGTTGCGCGGGGCACCACCTTTTTTGCCTTTTGTTTTCTGGGGGGTTAAGGCCACATGGCTTGTGTGTGTGTCTGTGTCATCATATTCACTGTACACAACTCCAGCTTTTTCAAGACAGCGGCGTTGGTGGTCCTTTCTGCTCCTTGTTAGTTCCACTCAAGCTCTGCACCTAAGCTGGGTAATGCTCCCAGTATTTTCCAGGTTGGTTGTGGAGGGACTCCCTGTATCGTTTTGTTGAAGCAATGAAATGTTCTGATCTGGGGGAAAAAAATAAAAAAATAAAAAAATCACTAATCAAACAGAGTGAGTCTCAGGCCGTCCCCACACCTGGAGGGAGATCCCACTACCGATGTATGTGGAGTAGTGGAGAGGTTGTGTGGCTCAGAAGCACCGTGGATCGGACCGGATGTCGGCGGCGTGTTTTTATTGGGACATATGTGTGTTTTTGGGACTCCCATTGGGTGGTATTTCTTTTCTTTTTGAATAGGTGTTCCTCTTGGGGTCCCGAACGTGAGTGAAAATCATAACGATTTTTCTCTTGATGATTTTCACACACCTTCTACTCACCTTTGGGCCATTGCCCATGCTTGGAAGACATGCCGAAGTGATTGTGGTTTGTGAGATGTTGTTGGGGGGGTTTGATCCCCTCACCTACATCACATGCTGCATGGAGTTGCTCTTGCTGTCCTTTGCCAAAAGTGAATTTCTGTCAGAGCGAAGGAGGAGCGTGCACTGCGGCCCATTTCAAGCAAGCCTCAGATTATTGTCAATGAATTTGGTCAGTTTGCTCACTCGCATGCAGTCTTTTTGACTGACACAGTCATGGTCAGTGAATCATATCCTGACATCTGACACCCCGGCTGGAGCAGACACCATCTCGATGGGAAGATCACTTTCTTTTCTTTTTTAGCATTTTTCTCGTCATTTCTTTTGTCATGAAATGGTTTTTCGTTTTCATTTTCCTATTTCATGCTGCCACCCACCTGTCCCCCACCCATCCCACACCCGTCACACTAATCCAAATACATGGGTAGTGGAATCTCCCTCCTGTGCAATAATGTGTCAGCCAACTATTCGTGGGTGCAGCCAAGTGAGGGAGCTTTGTAACTTTCAGTGGTGTCTTTTTGGCCACATTTTTCTGAATGTAAAAAGCTTGCTCATCTTCTTCTTCTTTTTTTTTTTTTTTTTTTTTTTTTTTTTTTTTTTTTTTTTTTGGTACGCAGCCAAATGCTGTCGGTGCTTGATGGCCTAACATTGAAGCTCGAAACACAGGACTGAATTTGGACTCAAATTGTCATCAGACACATCCAAAAAAAGTGCTAGTGTGAACATGCCCTTAGGCTCCTGCTGTGAGGGAGAGGCTGAGGGCAGTAAGTCTGATCGCCATGGAGCTGTCCCCAAAGGAAGCGGGTCCTGGTCCTGGCTCTAGCAATGGCTATGGCGGAGAATCATCACCATTGACCCAGCCCCCACTTCAGAATACCAGCAGAAGACGATCTTCAGTGCCAAGCTTCGAAAATCTTCTAGATCCTTCTCACGCCACAGCCAACCAAGCCGCCAGGTCTCCAGGTGCTGGCTCACACACTGCCAAAGCGAACACTGGCGATCAAGATATCACACAGACGCTTCAGAGTCCTCGCAGACCACGAGCTTCGGCAATAGACTTAGAAAATCTTCAAGATCCGCCAGCCGAGCCGCCAGGTCTGCAGGTGGTCGCTAGGATGCGGATGAAGTGAAGACGGGTGAGCAGCATCTCAGGCAGACAACCTCGACTGCTGCAGCTCTTGCCCAAGCTCTAAGTCCCACCACTTCGAGAAGAGGGGCATCTGGGAAGGAGTTATACGCTGACCTTCAGCCTGTCAGTCCTGTTAGAATGGTTGCAGAGCCTGGCAAAGAGGGTCTGGAAGCCAGTAGATCGGTTACCACATCAGGATCCCCGCAACAAGCCCATTACGGCCAGAGGCAACCAGCTATAGCCCAGAGAAAGCTGGACCTGCTCCCCACCCTCCCTTTGGAGAGAGAGGACTACAGTGGCGTAGAGAACTCATGGGAAGAAACAGAAGCAGGGGCAAGACCTGGACCTGCAAGAAGAACAGGAACAGGCGGAAAGTTTGCCTGGGACAGATCGGGCAGTGTCGCTGCAGGGTTTCTGAAAAATGAAGAGCAGCAAGGCCTCCCTCGGGGTGCAGGCAGACTAGCAACCATTGCCGATTCTATTCGGAGAGAAAGGTCCTTTATGGGAGACCCTTGGGATGACAGCTATGGTGTAAAAGCGGAAGAGGTTCGCTTGATGGAGTCATGGTTGGATCAAATGTTGGCGGGGGGATTGAAACGGCCAGGGAAGCCAAAGGTCGGGACAACAACTGGAGCAGATGACGCTAGACTATTGTCAGGATCCGACAAGGAGGAACTGGATGGACGGAGGCTTGAAGGAGGTCTCAAGAGCACAGGCCTCGACAGACCCTCCCTTGCAAAGGTGATGACTAATCCAACGGCCATAGACGATTTATATCGAGCCATGTGCATCCATGTGAAAGGTTTGCACGACTTCGTTACTGGATTGAGGGCCACCTTCTCGGACGAAATGTGGCAGACAAGAGAGGAGGTAGTGAGCAAGGTCATGGCCTCATTTCATCTCCTGGTGGGACAGACACTACAAATGTCCGCAGAGAAGAAAGGGTTAGGTTGGGGAGAAGAAGGAGAGGTGAAGGACGAAGATTGGGAGAAAATGTTCCCTATTGACAATGCAGTAGGAGACAGCAGGCGCGCCCTAAGAAGCCGCGGGAGATGGGAAGTCCGCGCATTGATGGCTTGGAAGATGTTGGAGAAGGAGAAGGAGCAGACGCAGAAGGATGCACGTGCCAAAGAGGAAATGCAGAAGGAGATAGCACTTCTGAAGATGCAAGTCCAGGAGCTTCGAGGGGAGAAGGACAAGGCAGTTGAGGGGAGCAAAGCTGCTGCAGCAAAGCTGGAGACGTTACAGAAGGAGAGGGAAAAGGAGAAGGAGGCGGAAAAGAAGGAAAGAGAGCGAAAAGCACAAGACGACAAAATTCGTGCTAAGAAAAATGCAGACGAGAAAACGGCAGCATTTTCACCAGAGATGGATGCTCAGAAACAGGCAGGACAACACAACACCATCAAGCCCCCCCAATGCTCTACGCACTGTTTGTTCTTGACTATTGTCTAAGGTGTCATTATCTATTGCCTACTGTCTATATGCCCTGTCAGTGACTATTGCTTAAGGTGTCATTATCTATTGTCTACTGTCTATGTGGCCTCAAAATTACTGTCATGTTCCATCCTACTGCTCCCATCGCTGTATCATTGCTCCAAATCGGTCCTGTCTCGACGTGACATGAAATGTGAACTGTGCCTAGGTGCCCTGGAAGACTCCCCCCCAAGCCCCCTCTGTGGACCGTCTAGTGCGGCAGAGGCATTAGGCTGGATCTTTGTTATGTCGGGCGTTTGAAACTTGCTTTGCTTGCCGGTAACAAGTAGCCGGACTACGGCCCCCAAGAAGAGAAAGGGGGGCAATTCTTAAACCACCAGTACCTCGCCCAGCTTTAAAAAACCGATGCGGCCATTAACGCGCCGCGTCGGCCGGGGTACCCAGCGCCCAACAACTGGTATCCCCAAGAAAAAAAAAAAAAAAAAAAAGAAATGTGAACTGTAACATATGGATAATGTGTATTAATTTACTATTAAATTATTAATGTCTGCATAATAAACACATCGTAAGGGTTCCATACCAGCTGATCACCGATAGCGACAGCCAACCGTTCCACAGCCTACCTGTAGGGGCAACTGGTAGGCAGTCCGCCGACTGATCGCTAGAGGGCCATCTACTGATTGTTTTTTTGCATCTGAGTTTGGGGCTGCACTGCGCCTGGTGATTACAGCCCAAATCTGCTGAGAAACTTCTCTGTTGGGGACGGTTTTTTTTTGGGCAGGGGGGGGCTGGAGGAGGGGAGCGGTTACAGGGGCAGGGGGAGGTTGGGGTCCATCGCTTGTGCCAAAAGACAAATGAATAACGTATGGTTCCTCTATACACTATATACTTATCCATCACTTTGGTGGGGGAAAAGAAAAATCAGTTTCAAGTTTTAACAAACACATAGCTACCGTCTTCACCCGAATAGAATGCCCAGTCATTATCGCTGCATCTGGATGGAAAGGTGGGCCAAATGCAGCTAATATAATGACCGGGCATTCTATTCGGGTCTTCTCCCTACAAAGTGATCTAAGTAAGTGGTGCAACCTTCCTACAGAGTGATCTAAGCAAGGGATGAGTAGTCCCTACAAGCAAAGGCTATAAACTCCCTCCAAATTGACCTAAGCAAAGGATATGAACTCCCTAGAAACTTAGTAGATACTAGAAAGTGATCAAAGCAAAGGATATGAGCTCCCTACAAAGTGACCAAGGCAAAGGATACGAAACCCCTACACAGTGACCTAAGCAAAGGATTTGAACTCCCCAGGAACTTTTTAGCATGATAGAGTGACCTGAACACAGACAGAACAGGGGGGCTGATAATGCCCTGAAGGTACAACTCAGTCAACACACATATATACGAATTTTCAGTCTCCATCAAACCGTAAAGAGGGAAAAGGGTGTGAAGGGTTTAAGGGTTTAAAGGGACACACACAGCAATAATCAAACAGGGGGGCTGCTGAAATAGGGCTGGGCTTAGGGATAAGGGGTGCTCCAACAAGGGAATGGGTGACATTAGCAGTTCCATGGGATAACGGAGTCCCGGGATGAGTCAACAATGACCACAGCCCCAGGAAAACAACAAACACCAATCTATGTGCTACAAAAAAAAAAAAAAAGGGATATGAACTACTGAGGAGCCTAGCTCAGTTTTGTACACCCATGAGCTGTTGATTTTCAGTTTTTTTTCCTTCTTTTTTGTTGAAAAGACCAGTGCAAGGAAAATGAGCGATAGCGAACTTCAGAAATCACACAGCATCATACACATGAGACCAGATAGTCGTGACCTCGAACCAATAGCAGAATTGCATCACGAGTTCCACCAAATAAGAGCACAGCAAAAGCTCATAATTGACAATGCTGGAATAGTCTCATCATCATCAACGAAGAACCAATGTCGATATCCTATCTGGCCCTCGGCGCCCAGACTAAAAATGGCAGATCCTATCTACTATCTAGCCTAATCTACAATGCCACCGATGACGTCAACAGCTCCCCGAAGTACGAGCAGATCTCGGCCAATGCCGTTCGCCTCAAACACCAGGTATGCCTCTCGTATCACTCACAACCACGTTCCCCAACTCACAGTGCCACATGCACCCAAGAACCACCATGCGCCCCATCCAGCATACAGCAGCGCAGCTCGGCTATGGCTGCCTGCTCCTTCCAGCTCGCCCGTGAGCGCCTGAGTGCTGGCCAGCGTTAGTGCAGCATGCAGCCAGTGCCCAAATGTCCAATGCGTGGGCAGGCCCTTCCCTATATAGAAGTGGCCTGCTGCTGCGTGCGGTGATGCGGTACTGGGCCCCGGCCCAGAAGCTTCCGGTAGGCCCCACGAGGCCGAGCCTCAGTCCAAAGGAAACAGGCCCAGACCTGTGGTGGTTACCAGCGCCCAACTGCCCTCAGCCTTTGTTCGGTCCATGTTGTGTATCCAGCCCAAGGCCTGCCTCAGTTACATACAATGAAAGGCAGCCTGGGCCTGGGCGCTTCCAACCAACTGGCGCTGCGCAACTGCCTGAATTTCCCCAGTTGCGTAGTAGTCCAAAATAGGCCTCAGTCGGGCCTGCCTTCACTTAGGGCAGCCGACCTGGCTGATAAGTGGGCCCAATGGGGCTTATTGAGGCCTTGTGCCTCGCACCAGCCTCGGAGTACTTGGTGGGGTGATAAGAGCACCTCCGCCTAGTAGCCCACCGCTGGTTGCTCCAGTCTATTGGTGGGAAGCAGCACCTGCTGGAAACGGGGCCCAGCGTCCCAACAGATACATCAACTGACGCTCGCCCGAGCCTTGCGGTCCGCTCATGTCCATCTCCAGCTCCAGTTATCCTCTGTTGCACTTCGTGTCAGACTGGGCTACAGTGAACCCTTAGGGGGCCACTGAGGGGGTTGCTGGCCCCTTCAACCAAGAGCAGCAAATGTGGGGTGCAGTGAATCAGACAGGTTAGGGAAGTGTAGTGGATACTGCCATGGCATTGGGTGGGAAGGGGTCCGGGAAATCAGACAGGGGGCGCAGCGGAAAAGAGGGTTCAATCAGGAGCCAGTCACTGAAACAAAGATGATTGGCACGGGCGCTAACTTCCTCCTGTTGTTGAAACTCCTCCTTATGAACTGTTGGAATACAGACCTGAGTTCAAATCCTTCTGGACCTTGCTGAATGGAATAAAAATTATAAAATTCAATAAATCAGTCTGAATTACCTAGGGCCGGTACGATCGATGAAGATATCCCAAGGCCAAATAAAAAAAGAAAAGCATATGAACTCCCTACAAAGTGACCTAAGCAAAGGATATGAACTTTGTATGAGGTGACCTAAGCAAAGGATAAGAAATCCCTACACGGTCACCTTAGCAAAGGTTATGAATTCCCTACAACTTAGTACAAAGTGGCCTAAGCAAGGATATGAAATCCCTATAAACTTTTTAGTATAGACTCCAGAGTGACCTAAGCAGAGGCTACGTACTCCGTATAAAGTTATCTAAGCAAAGGATATGACCTTCGTACGATGTGACCCACAAGAAAAGGATATGAACTCCCTACAAAATGATCTAAGCAAAGGATATCAGCTCCCCACAAAGTGACCAACGCAAAGGATCCAGGCATTTACCACCAAAGTAAAAAAGAAGTGAATGCAATCCATGCATGCATGCATGCATGCTATGTGAGAAACTCGCACCGGACTTTCAGAATGCTCGCGTGTGCTGAGAAGATCACAGCTTGGCATTTAAAAAGTTGCCAAAGCTATGTCCGTGCATTCCAGTGTGATTCAGGATACAAAGGGTAGTGCCGGTATTATGCTTACCGATGGTTAATAAAAAGTAAAAAAATAAAATAAATATGCATCATTGGTACACCACCCTCAGAAAGGGCCCCTGCGTGGAGGAGGGGGACTGGGTGGGGCTGCCCAATCGAGATATGGAAGTGGGGAGGGTACACATGACCGATCCATCTCGCAGATTAATAGAAATCTTTTCCATCCAGCAGGACAATGGGCTGCAATGGAATCAGCAACCCTTTGAATGGAGGGAGAAAAAAGGGGTCTATCGCATCAGGATCATTGAGGAAGAAGGACACCCAAAGGTGTATTGCCCAATGACCCCGATCGAGGACCTCCCCCTAGACCCTGATGAATGGAAATGGACCCAAGGTACCAGGCCTGGGAAAGGGGGGGCAGTCACATTGTCACTATATAAGCTTAAAGCTAAGTCGGTCTACCGAATGCTAAAGCATGACTTTGCAGACCACACTATGAACTTGCAGTGACTCATCAGGAATGTGGTGTGTGTGTGTGTGTGTGTGTGTGTGTGTGTGTGTGTGTGTGTGTGTGTGTGAGATATGTGTTATGCAACTGTGTGCATGTCATGGTATGAGCACCACACCATCATGCTTAGTGTTTGGCACTTATCAGGATAGAAAGTAGGGTCAGGAGGAAGGCCACCAAAAAACCGAACATCGCTGAACCAATTCAGGACATGCATAGACTGCTTGCATGAGTAGTTAGGTGAGTACGGAAAACAGCAAATATAACGGGCAAGTGAGGCACACACGATAGTAAAGTAAAGGCCAATGGGGCAGCAAGGCAGTGGAGAACAAGTGACAGCAAGGCACACAGGTTGGAGGGCATGGGGGCGGTGGATGGGCAGACAAACAAGACAAGTCCACAAGCGAAAGGGTAAGAAATACAAGTGCCAAAAAACATCAAAGACTGACAAAAACGAAAACTGATGATGATAGATCGTCATAGCTGCGCTGACTCATTCGCAGGCGCAACCCTCGACAATCTGCAGAATCCCCATAGCGCTACTTTTTTTTGTTACATTTTGGTTTCCACAATTTTGTCAGCATTCAGCAAACCGTTGTTTTTTCTTCTGCTTTTGTTTTAATTAAAAATAAAACACCCACCAAGTTTGCTAGGAGTGATGGTAAAGGCATTCACCCCTACCGGTGGCAGCTTGGTTCGTCACTCCGATCTATTACTGAATGACTCGACTTCCAGGACTTAGGAACAAGGAGGACGCATTACCGTATTTTCATTCGACTTCCAGGAGTGATGTAGCAGAGACTGAAT